CTGAAACAGACAATTTGAGATATAAGAAGCACAGAGCCTTGGACGACACTAACACTGCATCCAGGAAATGCAGAAGAAAAAGCCCATGCAGGAGAAAACAAAACAGACAGGAGAGGGAAGAGGCCAACCACGTGACAGTTCATCAAGAAAATGGTGGCAGAGATCTGGGAAAAGGGCCGGCACCTGGTCACAAGGGACCACAAAGGAGGAGCCCACACATTAGCACTGAGGTGACAGCTGGCTTTTAGAAGATGACTATGAGAAAGCACATGAGCAGGTTTCATTTGCAGTTTTAAGTATACGTGAGCAGTAAACAAACAGAAAATACATTAAGATTATACATAACCCTTATATAATTTCCTTAAATAATTCAAAAATGGGCTACAAAATAGGACCTTGGCCCCAATCTGTAATCAAAGTGCCTTAAGAAGCCTAACAGTTGTGTAGAACTTTTTTGATATGTATTTATTTCTGTTAACTAAAAGAACTTACAGTGAATCTAAAAGATGGTACACCCATATATTAAAGAGGCAGCTACATTTAGTTACATGGTAACAAGGGTTCCAAATCAATTCTATCCCAATTTTAATGTGTACGTGATCTCCTGGGAATCCAGTTAAAATGCACATAGTGATACACAAGGCTTGTAACACTCCATTTCTAATAACGACTCAAGTGAAGCCAACACTACTGCACAACATAATACTGCACCAAAGTCCCAAAGACAAGGCTCCTGGAGGGCCACAGGAGAATGTGGCTACTGCAGCAGCCATGCTCATAGCCCATTAGTGTACTTAGTGGATTAGGAGTTTCAGCAAAACATACTATTTTTGTTCAGGTAGGTCAAATACCTATGTGCCCTAGACTGAAGAGAGGTGGAATTACCCCACTGGCCCCAGCAGACCTATTCTGACATCCCTTTTGCACTTTATGACTCCTAAAATGCTTTCACATGTTACATGTCATGTGACCACCACAGATGCCACAGATGGTCCACTCTGCCATCTGGTACCCATATGAGTCCCAAGAGAAGTTTATGACTGCCCAAATTCTCAACATAAGGGGCAGTAGAGGGCTATGACCCAGGTTCTCTTACTTTCTGATCCAGGTTTTTTTCACCAGAGCTGGGGATCAGAAGGAAAAGAAGTTCTCGCAGCCTCTTCCCACATACGAAAGTGGTGCAGAGCTCACTATGTGGCTGGGCCCTCTGTGGTTCCACCTACAACTAGGATCAGGTTCAGGAACCATGCCCACAAATCACGTCACATCAATTCTAAAACGCTCCTGAGCATGCTCCTGGGGCTCCAAGTCGGCTCAAATCAGGCTTCCTTACATAATTTGCTTACAAATTGTACTGCCCAAGTCTTGTGCAAAAGATATCTTACCATAAAATGGTAAGTGTACCAAAAAAATATCTGACTCTATCAAGTGGATAATGTTCATCGATACCATATGGAAAACCTGGCTCCATGTAGAAATCAAGACAAACCTACCAACTAGTAAGTCACCTTGAAAAGTGGTTTATTCAGATTGCATGGCTAAGAATTTCAGTCCTGTGCAACTGTGTAGGCAGTGGAAGTCAAAAGGAATAATCCAGCCTTTCCTGCACTCATGAGGTTACACGGCAAACTTCCAAGGGAACAGGTGAGTACAGTACAAACACTCCGCTGCACACTGCCAACTGACACCCTGATCCACCATTCTACAAATCAACTACTAGTCATGATTCTAGGTTTTGGGAGATGAAAGGCAGAATCTAAATGAGTTGGCTGGGTCCAACATGAGGTCCTGTTAGCAGGCTATGAAGTCTGTTCACTTGCTGTTACATACTCTGCTTAGGGTACTGCATGGGTGCAACAGGGCACATCCCACTGCCCAAGGAACCAATTTGTCACTACAAGTTCCCACTTTCCTTTGCCCCAAGGCCCACCCCAAGCAACCCAATCAAGTGCAGGTGCTAACAGCAAATGCCAAGCAAGGAGAGAAGCAGAGAAGGACAATGCTCCTCAGGCCCAATCCTCATAGACAAGGGGAAACGAAGGAATGGCTCTCTGTAAGAACTCATCACAAGCAGAGGCTGGTCACAGGGCAAAAGTCACTGGCACTGAGAATGACCCATGGCTCCTCTGGTAATGCTCTAGGTGAACTCAAGAAGGAGGGTGGGGGAGGGAGAGAGGAAAGAGGAAGGGAAGGAAGGCAAGGAAAGCAGGAAGGAGGAAGGCAGGAAGGAAGGAAGGAAAGAAGGGGGTAGGAGGGAAGGAAGGAAAGGAGAAGAGAGGGGGAAAGGCGGGAGGGTGGGAGGGAGGAAGGGAGAGAGGGGGGAGGCACCTTCACCTTTATTATCCAACACGATACCTTGCCTTCAGCCCTCCCCAGCAGCCTGTAGTCCTCTACATGCTGACTAGTTCAGAGGACCGGCATCCCAAGACTCTGGAGGAAGAGCCAGCAGAAGGCCTTTGACCAGATTCTTTGCAATGGTTCCCTCTCCTGGCACCTAACTGGATTATAGCACTTCACTGAGAATTTGCAGGAGACAAAAAGCTATCAAGAAATTTTAGTGCTAAGAGCTGTGTTCTAGATAAGTACAACTCTGTATAACCGTGATGTCTACCTAAGGACCCAGGAAATGTGAGCAGGACAAAAAATAGTTTCAAGAAAGAAGAAAACCGGAAGTAATGCAGTGACCTCCGTTGAAGGAACACACTCAGCGGGCTTGTCTCAGTTCATCACAAGGACAGAGGATCACGTGAGGCACGGAACTTGGAACAGTGACTGTCCAACACG